GCACTTGGTAACTGTTATCATCTATAACAGCTGGGTTATGACACTGTTAGCTGAGAAGGATTTAATTAATTAATTAATTAATTAATTATGAGCTCTCTCCTACACTTTTATCTGGGCACACAGAAGCCAAATAATTGAGATTGACAGAAAGGTGTAAAATAAGGTGTGCAGTTTTCTTTCAAATTAATTGTTGCTTTATTCTTAGCTTTCAGCATCTCATGTTTCTAACTTTCAATAGTTAAACTACTCTTTCCTCTTTTTTTAGCTCTTTCTTTCTGAGTCTGTTAATGATTGTAAATATTTTAGATTTTTGAGTTGTCCAAATATGTGAGTAAAAATTGTCATAATACAAATATTAACCTGGAACATAAAAAGAATAAACTTTCTAGAGCCATGTTAATAGCAGACGATAAGATCCAAATTCTAAACCAGATATATTCTCTCTCTCTCAAACTAATAATATAATATATAATTTTCTCATTTGGCAAAATGATTACAAATGTCCATGCTAAATAATGATTTCATGAACAATGAACAAGTACATAATTCTGGAGCTAAAGTAAGGGACTTAATTGTGTTTTTGTTTTTTTTTTTTTTAACCCCAGGGGCACTTTACCACTGAGCCACCTCCACAGCCCTGTTTATTTTCTATTTTGAGACAGGGTCTCACTAAGTCACTGAGGGCCTTGCTAAATTTTTGAAGCTGGTCTCTAACTTGCAATCCTCCTGCCTAAGTCTCCAGAGTTGCTGGGATTAGAGGCATGTGCCACTGGACCTGGATGCTTAATAGTTTTCAGTGCATCTCAAGGTATTTGATAAAATTTTGATGTTTTGAAGGCACTGTGCTAGAAAGATAAGCCACAGGAAGAGGCGAAGCGATTTAAGAGAAATGTATAGATATTCATGCAACAGTTTAAAAAATAACAAGCAAAATGTTCACAGTAAGTATGAAACATTCAATGGTTGAAGGAAAAATAACCACCTGGAAAAATCAAGAAATCTAATGGAAATGTCACTTGAGATGGGTCTAGAGGAATCTAGTTTGAAGATTAAAGCAAAGGAGATTATCAATCTCTTTCAACTGTTATTCTCCAGGTTTAGATGCTCATTCCATTTCACTTGATGATACTCTGTTGCCAACTGTGTTTCTTCTGCATTTCAACTTCATAAACTCTCTGTTACATGACCTCTACTGAAAGTTAATCATACTAAATTAATCACTATTTCTTTGAAAGGAAAAAATTATCTTTTTAAAAAAAATCACTTTGTCTCTACTCATTGCATACTCCCTGCAGCTTTCATATTTTTTCCCTTCCCTTAAGCAGGTTGCAAATGAATACAGAAGGCTTAATTTAGTTTCACTGTGTTCCTTGACCACAACAAGTGTTACTGCACAGGTATTTCTGAAATCTCTTTGCATATTCTTTAATTATTGAGTCCCATATTGTGTCATTTTCTGTATGAGCTTGTCCCTCCAAGCAAAGTGTGAAATTTCTAAGA